GAGAAAATGTAAAGGATTTTGAAGGTCAGCCATCACTATTTCCTTCTTTACTGGCTTGACATACGGTAATAGTTTATTTTAATAATAAATTGTGCATTTTCAAAACTGCAAAGTAACTGTGCTTCCCATATTTACATTTTTTAAGTTTTAAAGCCTTTGCTTTTTACTTTACAGTCATTTCCAAATATGTTGATCTCTTAACCCCCACAAATAAAGAAAAAAAATTTTTTTAATGCAGCAATGCATCTGATAGTATATGCAATGTTCCACACCCATGATATTCTACATCTCCAATCAAAGAACAGAAATACATTTCTTTATTTCTCCTCTAGGGCCAAGATTGGTCATCACAGTTGCAAAGGTTTTGATTTATTTTTAGTGTTCCTCACCTTTAGATTACAGTACTTATTTTATGCACTGTTTTTCTGGATCTGTTTACTTCCCTCTGCATCATTTCTTCCAAGTTTGGTGTTTCTGTGAATAACATCTTGGCCAAAATAACAGTTCAGTAACTTTTGTTGCATAATTTAAATTCTTTTCCAGGATAGTTTAGATTATATTTATTAAGGATTATTATGAAAGGCACTGTTTAGTCTCAGAGGTCAGAACTAAGATCAAAGGAGAGTAGATTTTGGTTCAATATAAGAAAAGAAACTTCTTAATAATTAGAACTCTCCAAAAACCAAATAGGCTGCCTAAGTAAATGCCTTATCATTGGCAAGCTGTTGGGTGTTTCTCATTTGTGCTGGCACTGGAACTGATGTGTTCTGTGGTTCTTTTCAATTCTATAATTGTAAGGTTCTGTCCTGCAAAAGTAGTGTGGATGCTAGACTGGAAACTTTTCTATTTTATCTGAGGTATCTGGGAGGAACACTGCTCTCCAAACTCTAAAGCAACAAAATTATTCGTTCAATTAAGTAATATTCTATCATCTCAGATGACTATGGAGCCATACTTCTTCTAGGTAAAGAAGCCTAAGTTGACAGGGATATCAGTGAAATTCCTAAAGGTGCTAATGCTGTGTCTACTCTGTTATGTACTCAGAAAGGTAGTTAAGTATTAACGACTGAATATGTCATTACTATGTTAGAACCCAATACAATGTGGGTGGTAACAATAAAACGTAATTCCCTATGTAATTTTTTTAACCCAAGAAGTTGCGTGGTATAGTGGGAGAAAAAAAAACCAAAACTGTGGATTAGAAGTCAGAATATAACAGATTCTCATGCCAGAACTACTACTAACTAGTTATGTGTTACCTTAGACTTAATCTCTTTGCGTCCATTCCCTTATTTGTAAATTGAAGGGGTTAGAGTACGTGACGTCTAAGGTTCCTTCCAATTCTAAAATTCTGTTACTCTACAAATCTAATTCTAATTAATCACATATATGCAGCTCCATTAAATTAGGTCCTGATGAGATGGGTGAGCCAATTAATTTTGGGGCCTAGAATCACTTTGGGGCACATTCATCCTAGACTAGAGTGGATCAGAGTTCCAGACAGGCTGCATTTGACCTATACTGCAATGATATCGTACTACTGTGGTTTAGGAGCTGCAAACTATAATCTCAAAGGGTTTGTATCCAGACAGAGATGTTTTGTTTTTTGTTTTTTAATGAATCATATTTAGGTGTTCTCCTGTGAGTGTATAACAGATGCGTCAACATCTTACAACTTTTACAATCTAAGGGGGAGTGAACAAAATGGGATAATAAAAGCAACTCTCACACTTTTGTGGTGTTTTACAGCCTACAAAATTGTTTTCTCACAATAAACTTGTAAGAGAGGTAGTCCAAGTACTATCACAACCATTTTACAAATGAAGAAACTAAGGCTCAAAGAGAGTAACTGCACTGCCAAAGTGTCCCCAGCTAGTACTAGGACTTCAAACAAACTTTTTTGGTTTCTTTATACAGTGCTCTTTCTAATTACAATGCACCTATAGCATACGTGATATTCTAGATGAAATAATAGAGCTATTAATGGCATAGCCAGGAATGGCAGTCTTGTTTCCAAAATGCCAAAGTTTAAAATGCTCCATGATACCTGGAAACAGACCTCATATTGGCACATTTAGCACAAGAGTTTATCATATTAGTTATCACCTCAAGCTCAAAGCAGATTGGGGGACAGGTGGAAGGCAAGAGATAGAAGCAAGACCTAGGTGAGTACAGAGGGCTGCTATAGAGCCCAGTAAGGCAGTGAAGATGGGAAGATGAAGACAACAAACTTTGCCTCCTTATCAATTCCACCTGGGCCAGTCCTAGTATACTGTTACGTTTAAATTACCATTGTAAATGCTTCTTTCCATTTATTAATACAGTGGTACCCAACACGAAAAGCGAGGACTCCTGGGCCACCATGAGATTCCTACAAAAGGGCTGCAAACCCACATGCATACTATGCATTGCCATTTTGACCTTTATTTAGTTTCAGCAAAATATTAAGCAAAAATACCTTTTGTAAACTAAAGGTCTTTAACTTATATTTAAAATGTATGTGGATTTTGTGATTATCAAAATACAAACTCATTTAAAATTAGCATTAAATTCATAGTCACTTTTCTCATACTATATATTTTCCATCAATGGATACTTAATCCTATGTAAGTTTATGAAAATCTTAACTTTAAAAAGGTCTTCCTACTAAAATAAAAAAAAAAGTTAGGAATCACTGGCGCAATACACAATGATTTTTTAGTGTCCTAAAAAATAAAATTAAATTAAATAAAAAATTAAATAAAAGCCAGCTTAACTGTTTGACTCTATTGGGGAATTTTATTTTTTTTGAGAAGAAACATGACTCAATAATTAAGAGGGCTTTAAACTACAAAGAGGAAAGGAAAAAAGTGTCCAGCAGCAGTCAGTTGCTAAGTCAAACATTTCAGAGGGTAATAGGTTCAACCAAGAAAGAACAACAGGATGGCAGAGTAATTCTGAGGAGACAAAGACAGGAAAGAGTAGAAATGAAACATATGACCTGGTCACAATCACTTCATAAGTAAGCATGGATCTGAGAATAAAACTTGTGGTTCTAGCTGCCCAGGCTATCTACCTACTGAACTAGGCTTGGTCTGTAAGATTTCTTTAATAAGAAAGAAAGAAAAGTTTTTGGAAAAAATAAACAATATCTGTGGGCTAAAAATGTTCATATTAATGAGGGAGTTTGTATAAGGACTTTACCTAAAGATGTTAACTTGTGTAGGTAAATGTGACCTCCTAGGAAGTTGAGGCTTAAGATATAGGTGGCACATGATTTTGGAATCCAACAATAGAAGACAGAATGAATGAATGAGTAAATGAAAAAATTATTTAACAGGAACCAAATAGGCAGAAATTGAGTTGAGGGTAGCCTTCTATTAAGAAAACATCCAGGAAAAAGTCCGCAAATCTGAAGGAAAGGCCTGTTGGGAAAGCTTTTGAATGAGGATCAAGAGAAATAGAAGTGATAGAATGAAGGGGAAAACTATAAGTCCCAAAAACAACAGTAATATTAAATCATGAGCTACTGAGACCAAGATTACAAAGCTGTCTTGGAGGCAAGATACAGATTGGTGAAGATTCTCAATTATTGGGACAGATCCTAAAAATTTCTCACTTTTTAAGGCAGAGAAGTTGAGAGACTACTGACTTGCATGTTAATAATTTCATCTTCCAAACTTTATAGACCTGGATACTAGGCCTTTCTTAATTTGGCCTAAGATTTCAATACCTTTCCTAGCTATCATATCACACTACTGACTCAAACTGAGCTTGTGGGCCACTAAAACTTCCAATCTTTTTCAATGAACTGTTTTTGTACAAAGCTCCTTGATCTTGTACTTGGGAAATGATTATATGTTTTACTGGACTTGTGATTATGTTAGTATAGGGAGCTCTTGAGGGAAAAAAATCCTTCTACCAATGCAGATCAGCACCTGTTCTGCAACTTAGAGAATTGTCTTGGTCCCTGAAGGGTTCAATAATTTGCCCAAAGGTCATAAGGCCAATATGTGTCAGAGGCAAGTCTTGTACTCATGTCTTCCTGCCTTTTACATTTATGTCTATTAAATTTCATCTAATCGGATCTTGCATTATGTTCTCAACATATAAGGGTACATCAACAAGAATTACATAGGATGAGGTTAAATGAGTTAAGATCTGTGCTACAGGAGGGAGTACCTCCACCAGTGTTACCATAGATTTTCTGAAGTATTAGAAAAAAAAATTGACAGTGGTTAAAAGTTTACATTTTTAAAAAATCCTTCAAGATACAGTTCACACACCAGTTTCTTGAAACTCATTTAAAACTATTAGTGACCTCTTTTTTGAATTTCTAGTGACTCTTTAATCTCTCTTATGCAGTTAATAATTTTCTAACAAATTAGTTCATCTATCTCATCCATAAGTTTCTCTAGGATAAGGATTGTGTCATTTTTCATCTTTGTATCTGGTAACTAGAACAGAGACTTTAACAGGCACTTAGAAAGTTGTTGAATTGAATTGTTTCTCGTAAGATCCTTAACTGAAATACCATCAACTATGGTCAAAGCTCTCATGCTCAAGTAGTTTGTGTGGGATCCACAGCCCTCACTCCAAACTATGGTTTAATATTAGACCTCTAAGACCTCCAAGGAAGACAGAATTAGGCAGCACCTACTGTTATGTGGAGATACCTTACACAGGGAGTTCCAGAAATAGACCAGCTCATTTATCAAAAGAGTCCCAATGGATACCAACCTGACATTCAGCGATTTTTTTCCCACATACAATGAATATCATTTGCTGCTTCCTTGGACAAAAAAATGAAGTTAGTCTGTTTCCAATCTTGTAACCAGCTCAGGCAATATTCAGATATCTCCAGGCATCAGGATTTATTAAATTCTGCTTACTTTTCCAGGACAAAAGTACTGAAGCACCAAACTCTGGATTTCTGCTTGACACTTTGAAAAGAGTCTACTTTCATCTTTCTGACCCATCTGATAATAAAGGTATTTATGCCCTCACTTAGTTTTACTTACTTTTCCTCAATGCAAACTCCTCATCAGATGGTTTCCGTTCGGGTTTGCGCTTGGGTAGAAGTTTTTTCATGGTCTTAGGGCTCTTACTGAGATCCTAGAGAAAAGAATTTTAAGAAACCCATTTTGCTCCAAATCCTCATAAGCTGAAAGTTCTGACTGGTAAAACCAGTGGGGGCTGTTGTTGAGTGTGAAATCTTACAACACCACAGCCATTATGAGCTTTATGTTTTTTCCTTTATGATTTTTTTTTAATTTGCCAACTGCTAGACATTAATTTAGAATTAATAATTCACTTCCAGTTTTAGTCAAATCAGCTGCTATTTCTCCATTGGCTCTTGGGAAAGCAGACATATCTTGTGTTACTTGGATATCCTATTAATATTGTAACAATATTCAGCAAAGCTGCTGCAAGTGATGCAGGCAGGCTAGCAGAGATTGAGGAGGAAGGAAAAAATGGCAGATGGCACAATACACACACACACACACACACACACACACACACACACTCACACTCACACACACATTCTCACATATACCTAGGCTGAGGGAACTGTTAATATTGGAGGGGTAGACCCATCTGATAGATCTAACCAAAAATGGGTAGGGGTTCAGGGCAGTGATTTTGAGAAGAAAATCAGTTGACACAATGAGAATGATTTATTGAAGAAAGCATTTTAAACCACAAAAGAGGAGGACAGGGGAGTAGGGGGGCAGTTAATCTGCTTTTAAAGGAAAGACCTATAGCAAAGGAATACAGCAACAGAGAAACAGCATGGGCTGCTCTTCGAATAGACACGCTAATTTCAGTCAAAGAAATGCACCAGTCCACCCCTTACCTTCAGAATACAAGACATCCTCCAAAAAAAGTGCACAATAAGAAAGTAAAAAACTGAATGAGCAGGACAAAGACCAATGAGGGATGAAGTTTCAAACACCTGTGCTTTTATCAAACACTGATTTTTGTGTTTGTATATATATTTTTAGATCAAGTGCCACATAATTTAAATTATAAATGGTGCACTAATCAAAAAAATGAGAACATGAAACTTAAAAAGTAGAGATGTATTAGGAAGAGCCAGGCAGAAAGGATTTTATAAACTAAGTCCCATTTTCTGTTAAAAAAAAAATCTGTTTTTTTGCGGCCATCACTTGGCTTTTTATTTAAAAAAAAAAAAGGAAACCTAAAACTTGTAAAGAACATACCATGTATACAGGACAAAAATCAATACAAAAAGATACACTATACACATCTGAGAACAAATGGCAAAGTGAATAGAGAGATGGTCTCCAAGCCAGTATTACCTGGCTTCAAGTCCCACCTGTGACTCACACTGGCTGTGTGATTCTGAGGACTCACTTAACCTCTCTGTTCCCCAGGCAGCTGTCTAAGATTAAGTGGCAGAGAAGGTGCTGGCCTGTGTTGATAAGATGGAATTTCCTTATGGGGCAGTTCATTATCCCAATGAAATCACAGGTTGGGTCCCTATCCCTATACAAAATCAGACCGAGGTTTGAAAATCTATAAATTATCACTCATATACCAATGTCAAGGAGTCTGTCATAGTCAAGTAGCCAGGGGACTAAATCAATATCCTTTTGGGGGAATTTACTTCACTATAAAGGACCTCTTCCAAGTGAAGCCCAAATGTAGTCCAAGCCATAGCAAACATGGGGATAATATGTTTTCCAGCAAGTGGCTTGAAGCTCTCAGCAACAGCTGAGGCCTCTGGGTAATATTCTAAAGAATATATAAACTCTATTCTCCAATCTAGAGGTCATGAAGGCAACAAAAAACTTAATTCTTAATATGCTTAATACTTATTAATTACAATTATAATTAATAATTAAGTAATAATACTACAATCTCCAAATCTATAGTCCATTTTTACATTTTTCCTCTCTTGCCCAGCTTTCACTTATCTTTCTCATTTACTTGCACGTATAACCACTCCTAATAAAAATATTGATACCCCAAATTTTAAGCTCAACAGGTAAAACTTCCCTAAGCATTCTAGTCCATCTTACCTTTGGACTACAGAGTCTACTCAGTAGTTTATTAGAAAAATAAAGAAAATCACCAATCTTCATTACTGGCCAATCATAAAAAAAAATTATTAGATTTGGACTCCTGGCAATCAACAAAAAGAGGTAAAGGGAACATGTCACAAAAACAGGTTTTACCAAGCAATGAGCAAAGAAATGTTAAGAATTATTACTTCTTGTGCCATACTTTTCTTCTGCAAGTACTCAGTGCTTGACTGAAAGTATGAGCCTAACGTACAGAATGTCTGATGCACCCTCCTTCTGCAATTCTGGCTGTCAATTTTACATTGTGACTTAATGCCTGGCAGAAATTTTTCAACACACTCATCATTTCCCACACCAGCATCTGCCTTTACAGATGTAGACACCTTTGTTGTAAGCATCTGAGTTCTGTTCATTTGACAACACAATTTAAGATGAATATTTAATTTCTTTATCATGGCAGAACTTTAGGGCAGATGGAAAATTAATGTAATTGTACTAATTTTGTGGATAAATTAAACTAGATTTCACAGTTTGCTAAGCACTATATACATTATACGAAGCTGCAGAAGTAGGAAAGAAGTGAATGAGGCTGGAATGAGGCAATCAGTTTTCTTGCAGGCAAAACAGAGGAGATCTAACTTAAAGAATTTCTTTTGCTTTCTTTTCAGACTTCACTCTTCAAATCATATGGCTTCTTCTGATGACCAATCAAAGGAAATGATATCTTGCATGAGATTGCAAAGTTACTGAAAGTGTTATAAAGGGCAACAGCATGACATGCAAAAATGAAATGATTCCCACCACCAACTAGAAGTTAAAAAAAATTTCAGGCTCTGAAACAGTCACACAGGAAGCCCACATGAAATTATTTTTCAATCGCCTTGCTATGTAAGCTGGCGAAGATTGAGGAATGATGTATAAACAACACTTTTGTCAATGATGCCTTCTACTGTTATAAAAATGATCCTTTCTTAAAGGAAGGCTTTTGGCAGGGTCCAGCTTCAGGAGAACATCCTACATAAGGACAGGATCCTTTTCAACCAGGCCTAATGACCAAGGCACTGGAAGAATTAAGTGGAAAGAAAGTACAAAAGTATAAGGACAGAAAACATAGTCCTTATAGCTCTGAATAAGCCAGCCTGCATAAAAAAAGGAAATCACAAATTCTGAACTGCCAATATCCAGAATTAGCTAAAATGAAAACTGGGAGTAAACATAGGGTAGTTAATTTAACCCCCAAATTTGGAGTTCAGTTTTCTACTATGATCCTGTTGTTCTTACATTAACCCTTCTGAGTGGCAGCAGGACCTCACCTCTTTGTAACAGAGAGCAGCTGAAGGCCGTAGAGGAGGTGCAGGTCGCAGGCAGCTCAGGCTCCAAGGTTTGGGAGTTTTAGGAGGCTCCAGAGGTCCCCAATTAATTGTGGTATGTGGAGTCCCATGATGTGAAGGGTGTGGGAGCGTGTGGTATGCAGGAGTCAGTGGCACTGGCTTGCTGTCTGAATGTTTGCTGGATGGTGTGATTGGATGGGAAGGAAGCTGCCAAGTGTACAAAAGTTTAAGAAAAGAGAAGAAACAACTTATGAGACTATTTAGCACTTAAATGTAAAGATTTTAATAAAAAAGTTGAATTAAAGCTTAAAGCTCCCCATTCAAATAATTCAAGAATTAACTGATTTTATTAACAATTAACAGAGACGGAATTTTTTAAAAAGATTTCAAGCTTCTTGAGGACAGGCACTATCCTGGTTTTGATCTCTGTATATCAATAACATGTGACTTAAACACAGTAATCAAGTAAAAAGTTATTTAAATTTGTTGTTAAAAGGAATTATTTAAATTTGTTGTTAAAAGGCACTACTGTTACTAGAGGCTGTCAGGTTTACTACCTTAACCTGGTATCAACCAAAGTGTTCAACCCCTGGTTCTGCAGGTAGTTTAAAGGACTCAATACTTTGTTCAAGGTCACACCTTTATTAGCATAGCTTATGAATCACAGAATGCTAGAGCTGGAGGGAACTGTGGAGATCATCTAGCCCCATCCCTCCTTTTCACAGTTCAGGAAACTGAAGTCCAGGGAAGTTAAGAGACTCAGGGCAATCCTCGGTAGAGAACACAGACCCCTCTAAAGAGATAATCATCATTTTTTCCTTTTGCATGGAATTACATTCTTTGAAAGACCTTCATTTCCATCGTTACAAAAAGCGAGAAAGTGAGTTCAAAACCACCTGCATGTGCCAAATAAAATGGTTGTGCTAATTCATTCTTCTTCAAAGTCAGGTATCAATTACTGGCTCATGACATTTATACCACTATCTGTGTTAGCTCCTGGATATGTAAGCTTTATTGAAAACTGTTACTTAAAGCCTACTTCCTAACAGGTACAGTGTTGAAAATAAGGAATTATATTTCTGAAAGACTAATAAGGGGAAACTAATTAGGCTAATATTGAAGTATGAACAACAAGTATTCAAAAATAGCAAGTTACTTCAACAAAAAGAATGTTCTGATTGGCCACAAAAAGTCATGAGCACAAGGGCAAATAAAAAAGACTAGTATTTGAAAAGGAGTTATAAAGAGATTCCTCTTCTCTCCAAGCATTAAGAAACTCAGTAGCAAGACTACCTTTTATTTAACTTGGAGCAAAATTGCAACCATCACAGAGTCTCTAAAGTCATTTAAAAGATATCAAACCATAAAAACTATAAGAAAATTACTAATACAAATGTAAGTGAGCCACTGGAAAGCCAAGTAATTCACAACAGCCTTCCACCAGGGGGAAAAAAAGGGTATTTTTCAATCTGAGTAGGTCACCTAAGAGAGATGAATTTTACAGTGTCTAGAGCATCAATGAAATCATTCTATGAGAACAGAGGGAGTAAAGAATACAAAAGTCAAAAACTCTGTGGAGAATATTATGTTCATAGTAATTCAAAAGTTCTAAGTTGTCTATTGCTGCCTTTGCTCAAGCTACTCCGTCAGCCTGGTATGTCCTTCCATGTCATCTCTGTTGGTCAAAATCCTACACCTCGCTCTGAGGGCTGGCTCATACAGGACATCTTCAATTAAAGTTTTCCTAATATTCTCATTCAGAAATAAGCAGTAATATGCAGAAATTTGTTTTAATGCATTTCTTACAAAATTTACCTTGTTCTAGTATGTATTATAGTGATTTGTATACAAATTCCTTTCTCTTACTGGACTGTAATATCCTAGGGGCAACAGACTTTCTTATTCATCTTTCCATGCCCCGTAGTGGCTGGAACAACTTAATAAATGCCTAATGACTGACCTGCCCACTGCATGAACAAGGGGAAGGAAGAACCATTTGCTACTGCCAAGGTCTAGGTTGAAATGCAATTTCACTTGCTATAACCATTTTTCAGGTTTAGTAGTAGGTCATTATTGAGGACTATGAGTTAGAATGAGCCTTTATTTTCTGTTTTAAAATATCCCAACACTAAAACAAGAAATTCTATTTCAAAGAGTAATGGGAGATGTCTCTTTAGTACGTTTTAAAAGATGGAGCAGTTAGGATGGCAGAGCCATTCAAGTCAGAATGTTAGCTACAGCAAATGAGCAGTAACTTTATCCTCCAAATTTCTGACAGAAATAAGGAGCATAACAATAAGCTGGCACAATGAAACTGCTATCAGTTGTTATGTTGTGATGGTCTTTCTTTGGCAACCAGTTTTAGATTCAGAGTAAAGAGAAGAAAGAGATTCACATGAAAAAATCCTAATATGACAATGCAATAAAGTCTACACACTGTAAATGGCTTAAAAAAATCACAGTTGATTTCAGATCAGAGTTAAAAATGGAGATAATAATAGCACCTACCTCAAAGGGTTGGTGTGAGGACAAAATGAGTTAATATTTGTAAAGCACTTTTCAAACTTTCATGTGTTATATAAGTGCTAGCTATAATCTCAAAAAGACTTCCTCATTCCTTTAAGATAAAAGATGAACAAATGACCTATGCTAAAATATAAATGTGAAATAAAATTTAAGTGAGGAGAAAATGAAAATCCTGAAACTTTAATGTCTACCTATTCTAAAATAACATGAGATTCTAACAACCTGAGGTTTGTTATTTTGTTTTTTTTTCCAAATGAAAGAGCAAATGAAAAAGTAGTCTCATGTACAGAAGAATAAAAACACATTTAGATTAAATAAATCATCTGATTTTCTCCCCACATTATAGAGATGTCTTCATTAAAAAAAAATGTACTGTGAAATATATTTACACAAGCACTTCCAAAAGTGATCTTTCGACTGGTGGCTTTTTAAAACACCTCACGGTAGTTTAAATTGTGTGTGTGTGTGTGTGTGTGTGTGTGTGTGTGTGTATTTTTTTAAAAAGTAGATGTCTTTCTAAGAAAGGCTGCTCCCTAACCAAGCTATACTGTACCATACATCTATGCCCATTAATGGATCATGTGACTGCCTCACAAGACTGATGAATGGTTCAGACTGCCAAAATAGTGTGAAGCAAATCTGTGCAGAGAAACAAATATAGAAGTTAAGCCATTTGATTCTTGTTACTGGAGACACAGATACCACAATGCTGAATGGTATATGATAACTCAATCAAAATCCTAATCTTGTTTGAAGTGAGGAAAATGCGCACATCAGAATGAATCCTTACAGTATGAGATGGCACAGAATGAGGCTTAATAGTAGGATTTCCAATAGTTGTAACTTTAGTTTGCTTCTGTAGATGATCCACCCATTCATGAAGATCCTGCTGGTTGTTGCATGATACCAATATCCGCTCAATCATGCTTCCTGGAGTGAGAGAGAAAACAAGAGTTTGACACTGGAAAAGTGGATTCCAGACACACAGATACATTTTGCCCTAGTCATATTTTAACTTCTAAAAATAACATGAGTAAACCAATTAAGTGATAACATTCAACTTCCTCACCCCGATGAAAATCAGTATTCACAAAAAGTTTATTTACATCACCTGCTATTTCAAATGCATTTTTATGGTTTTCACTGTCTTCCAGCTTTGTGATTGTCGTGCCTGTCATGGGTAGCTTTCCCTAGAAAGGACACAGCAAAAGAATTAGTGCTTTAAGAGCACAGAAGCGCCGTTATGTTGGTTTACTGTCGGTCAGTCCTGTGCGTTCATCTATGCCTCTGTATTCAGGACTCTCGGTTGGAAGCTCCATGCACTGATGCAGGCAGGAGAGCTGCCTGAGGCACTGAGAAGTGATGTGACACATCCGTGGTCATACACTATGTGTCAGAACAAGATTTCAACTGAGGTCTTCCTGATTACAGGGCCTGCTTTGTAAGCACCAAGGCACATTGCTGTATGTTTTATGAATAAATATAAAATGAGTATGTTAAGAAATACCATAGCAATACCCCATTGTTGACCAAGGTAACATTTTCCCATATGCCGTATATAGGTGCACACCCGCATAAAAATGTTTTCAAAAATGAAAGCACAATTTTATAATCGTCTAATGTTCTCAAAGATGTACAAAGAGTTTTGCCAGGCCATGGTCAAGCAGAATAAAAATAAGACTATTTTGCACTTCAAGGGCTGTATCCCAAAGAGATCATACAATGGGAAAAGGACCCACATGTAAAAAATATTTACAGCAGCTCTTTCTGTGGTGGCAAAGAACTGGAAATTGAGAGGATGCCCATCAATTGGGGAACGGCTGAACAAGTTATAGTATATAAATGTAATGGAATACTGTTGTGCTATAAGAAATGATGAACAGGCTGACTTCAGAAAAACCCGGAAAGACCTGTATGGCCTGATGCTGAGCAAAGTGAGCAGAACCAGGAGAACATTGTACATAGTAACAGCCACGTTTATGTGAAGACTAATATTGATAGACTTAACCCTTCTCAGCAATACAAGGATCTAAGATACGTCCAAAGGTCTCATGATGGAAAATACTATCCACATCCAAAGAAAGAACTATGGACTTTGATTGCATACTATTTGCTCTCTTTTTTCCCCCCATTGTATTTTGTTTCTTCTTTCTAGTGGTTCTTCCTATTAGTTCTGATTCTTACTTACAACATCACTAGTGTGAAAATATGTTTAATAGGAATGTATATGTATGGCTTATATCAGATTGTGCACTGTCTTGGGGAGGGACGTGGGGTGGGAGGGGGAGAAAAATTTAAAACTCAAAAGCTTATAGAAGTGATGGTTGATAAAGAAAAATAAATTAATAAAAAAAGTGCATATTTTAAAGACTCTGAAAAAACAAAAGGAAAAAAAATTTCACAGGATTAGAAAAACAAGAGCAGGTGACAAGGGTTTTTCATGTGTTCTGTGAAAGGGAAGATTCAAAGTTTTATCTCACAAGACCATCTGCCACAAGTAAATCTGGAGAATATTCTTAAAGTGATCATAAATGTAAGGTGAATTGTCAGGGCAAGAATGGGAGACAGAACTGGTTATATGCAGAAGAACATAGATTTTGGACTCTGACAGAATCTCTAAGTCGACTCAGTCCAACCCCCTTATTTTACAGATAAGTAAACTTTAAGACCATGGAGGTTAAGTGACTAATCAAAAAGAAAACAGGAATATGAGCTGAATACAGAACAAGAAACAAAGGATGGATGATAAAGAAAAACTTACCCTTCTGAAAGGCTGAGAACAGGAAAATGACAAGAGAATTAGCAAATAGGGAGGAAACAAAAGGCACTGGATACAAAGATCCTCTTAAAAGAAGATTGGCAGCGAAGGGAGACTGGCACTGCATGAGTCAGAAAAGTCGGGGGAAAGTTTTCTGTTTTGGGTTGTTTTTGTTTGTTTGGTTGGTTGGCTGGTTGGGGAGACCGGAAAATCAAGTACAGAAAAAAGGCAAGGAGTCAGTGATGAGGGAAAGATTAAAACTGTGTAAGGAAAAAGAACAGCTACAGGAGCAGGATCCTAGGGAAGGAGGAAGGAAGGAAGGAAGGAAGGAAGGAAGGAAGGAAGGAAGGAAGGAAGGAAGGAAGGAAGGAAGGAAGGAAGGAAGGAAGGAAGGAAGGAAGGAAGGAAGGAAGGAGAAAGTACAAGAGGAATCTCGATACAAACTGTACTAGGTAATTTCAATGGTCCCTTCAACTTTGTGATTCTCTGAGAGATCAAGAATTCTGATAATAATGAGAACCAGGGGTAGAACCAAAGAAATAAGGGCAAAAATAGAGAAGGGAAAACATAAGATAGAAACTAACATTAGCTAAGAAGACAGGAAAATGGATGATTAGATCATGACTTAATATTCTAAAAAGAAAGAGTAATGGCTACATATAAGTGCGTATTTAGGTCAGGTGGAAGGAACTTGAGGCCTCAAGGCCACATGTGGCCCTCTAGGTCCTCAAGTGAAGCCCTTTGACTGAATAAAGTTCAATCAAAGATTCAAAGTGACACAGGTTCTCCCACCCCTGGTTCAGGCAAAAATACTGGTATTATAAAGATGGTTGATTATATGTTTTTTGGTTGTTTTTTTTTTTTAACTTTTAGGTAATTGGGGTTAAGTGACTTCCCCAGGGTCACATAGCTAGTAAGTGTCAAATGTTTGGTCTGAGGCCAAATTTCAACTCAGGTCCTCCTGACTTCAGGGCCAGTGCTCTATCTACTGCACCACCTAGCTGCCCCCCCCTTTTTTATTTTAAGCAATTGGGGTTAATTGGATGCTTGATTATATGAAAAAATGTTAAAATTCAAGACAAGGTCACAAACAAGGGTCAAAAGACTCATAAAAACACCACAGTCAAAGATAATCATTTAGCTCAATTGCACAAATTGGAAATCGCTTCTAAAGCATCTCTGACAGTCACCTATGTAGCCTCTGTTTAAATATACTCAGTGATAAGGTATGCACTGCCTCGTGGAGCAACCATTCTACCATTAGACAACTTCAACTGACAAGAAGTTCTACAGAAAATCTGAAAAATAATGTAGTGAATCTTCTAAAAAAATATTTTTTGACATTTGTGTATATTATGTCCTTCCCAGGTCATCCTCCCTGTTTTTATATAAAAGATGAAAATGGGAAGCAGATATAACTACATTATTAAGAAACCAATGAAGAAAACATCCTAAATTATAGTAGGAAAAGAGTAATGAATATTATTCGCTATTTATTTAATGTGCTGTTCTACAAAGAAAGGACTGTCAAAACAGTAGGGGCCATGGCAATATACTGGAACAGGAAACTACAAATGGATTACCATTGTAGCTTGGATAGTTCAGTAAATGATAGAATCTCAAGATTAAGATCTCTATTTCACTCTTTTGCTCTATGTCTTTACTCACACTATTTCCTTTATCTTGAATGGCCTCCTTACTCATTTTTATCTATCCAACTCTAACCCTCTTTTGAGGCCCAGATGATGAGGCATCTCTTCTACAAAACCTTCCTTGAGAACTCTGGCCCACAGTGATGTCTCATTTTTCTGAATTTGGATGGCATTTACTGTTGAGGCTGCACACTTTACCATGTAATAATACAAAGTTTTAGATGGTATCATAATTGTTTCATGTAAATTAGTCTTGTCTCTCTGACCCAATGGTTAAAAACTTGAGCGTGTGCCATACTGCTTCCCTTTTAGATTAACCATGGATAGATGCTAACATAGTCCGTGATGAAATGAATACTCAATCTTTAACATAATAAATGAGGTTATGGTGCTAAATATTTATGAGACAGAAATGTGCGAATCAAATCGGCAAAAAGGCATCAATTTAGATAGAATTACAAGATAAATGACAGGCAAGAAAATCAAAGTAGACTTCAAGGAAGCAGCAGAAATCTGTTTCATCATTTCTCCTTTAAGTGGTCATCTAGTCATTTTTTTAAAGACTCCAATAAATATGATACACCTCCAACTAGCATCAAATTACCACTGAAAATTCCATAAAATATATCATTTTATTGTCTTTTTATTCAAAGTAACCAGTAAAGTGCCACGAATACAGTAAACACTTCATAAATGCTTGTTAGATTGGACTGCATTTCTATTGTACAATTCACCGAGGGTAAAGAAAATCAGCCATTAGTTCCCACTGCAAAACAAAACCAAAACCATTGTCCAGACTTTTATAAACCTAATAGCACATGCTTGCCTTCACTTACAAGTCAGTCCTGATACGTGTAGAAAACAATCTGAGCACAGGGTCCATGGTCATGAATTTCATTCACATCTCCCACAGCACCTGGCAAAGTTTGTTTCCTACCAGAGAGCTTTCCTGCATCATCCCCATTTTTTCATATCAAGTCTTCTAATTTCAAAGCTTTTTTCAGCCTTTTTCTTCTTCTTACCTAGAACAGCTTCTATATTGTACATTTTTGGTAACTCCCACACTGGAGTGCCTATTTTAGTGTTATGCATCAAGTCAGCATTCAAGACACAGACAGGAAAGTAAAAATAAAGAAAGGTATATCAGAAAATAGCTTTAGAAAAATGCAGCTGACGGAACAAATAATTATAATTATACAGTTTAAAAAAAGAACATTGAAAATTAAAGACAAAGGCTATTCTTTTGGAGAATTTATAAATCACAGCAGGAATACCTGTAAGAAGATGTCAATGAAGAAAGACTATTGTACTATCTTTCAAAATAAAGGAGAGATAAACAAGGGATATAATGGAAGAGAGTCTTAATAAATTTGTACTTCAAGAAGTTAACTTTTGGGAAAGAATAAAGCAGAAAAAAACGAAGACTAAACAAAGAAATCACATTAAAAATTCTAGTTTTTCCCCTTACAAAAGGTCTTATGGTATTTTATAAATATCAACCCATTAATCTTTTGAAGGGTAGTTAGTTAGGTAGACAAATGAGTGTTACTAATCTAATTTACAGGTGTAAAAAAAAAAGACAATGCTGGAAAAAGCTGGAAATAGAACTTGTAACTTGTAATTTCATTTGTTTGCTAAAACTTGAAAAGAATATTAAAATTATATAATTGCTAAAAAACACCAATGAGGGAAGAATTAAAGAAACTGAAAATTGAAATAAGAGAGCTAGGGGGTGTGTTGAATAATACACATGGATGGTATAAGAGGTAGGGTTCATGAA